CTCCCGTACAAAATGATAACGCACAGAAATGTGCTTCGATTGCAGGTCGAAGATATGGTAGCCGACTGTCTAACGAAGCCTTTGCCGTCTGAGAAATTTGTGAAGCATCGTGTAGCTATGAACGTGTGCAAGTCCTGAGCGCGTGGGAGTGTTGGAAAGTGCCCTAAGGTACACTCAGGCTTGACACTTCGGTAGTTTGGTTAGTCCAGCACTCCCACGCACTAGCACTCCCACGCTCTAGCACTCCCACGCCCACCCCCACTCCACCCTCCACCCTCCACCCTCCACGCCCACCTCCCCGCCCACCTCCACCCCCACCATCCACTCCCACCCCCACTCACACCTACCTGGCACGAAGCGGCCCGTGGAGGGGTCGTAGCTGTCCACGCGGGGGAAGTCGATCCACTCGGGGTGGCCGAACTCGTTACCTGATCAGGATACACACCACATAAGACATACAGAGTCGGACGCTGAGGATGGTGCACTGTGTGACAAGAAGGCGCTGGTTTGGAGCCGCAGGTGGGCGCCGGGGTGTATCAAACATTTTGAATTGCACGTTCCTGGCGTGAACTGACACCAACTTCTCCAACCCTCACCACCCATCACTCACCTACCCGTCACTGCTGTAACCCCTTTCTTTCCAAGCCACAGGCGACCCAGAGGAGCTGAAGGCCTTCGTCGATAACACGACGCGATGATTTTTAAACATCCCCCCAATAGAAAAACACATCCCTACATACACACCCCCAGACTGCTCGATACCATATACTACGAAAGACACACATACACGGCGCTGCAGAGCGCGTCCCACGCCCAACTTGCCCGCCCCCAGTCCCGCCCCCAGTCCCGCCCCCAGTCCCGCCCCCAGTCCCGCCCCCAGTCTCGCCCCCAGTCCCGCCCCCAGTCCCGGCCCCCCTCGTCCAGTCTCTCTAGGACTCTCTAGGACTCTCTAGGTCCACCCCCCTCGGGCTCGCCCTCCCTCCATCCCTTACTCCCTCCGTCCCGCCTACCCTCCCGCTCTCGCTCTCGCTTACCCATGAAGTTGAGGTAGGACTCCCCTCCCAGGGCGATGGTGATGAGGCGGATCATCTTGTGCAGTGCAATGCCGCGGTCCACAATAAGAGACTGGGGGCCCATGCCAGGTACGGCCTGTACGACAAAACAAACAAGTTAGGGTAGGGAGTGGAGGATGTAAGGATTGTTGGATCAGCCGGCGAGTCAGTAGGCATTCCAACACCGCGGCCGCGACGTGATCACGGTCGGCAGGGGAGCGGGAGAGAAAACGAAGGATGGGTGGGGAGTTGTATGATGTGAAGCAAAAGGTAAACGATAAAGCTATCGAGGTAACTTAGGGTTCGTGGGTGCGTATTCTTGAGGAGAGGACAACCGTCTAGTCTGAAGAGATGCAGCACGCGGAGGGTTGGGGCAGCGGAGCGGTCCTCCCTAAGACTGTCTGCGGGCTCCCGAGAGCTAAGATGGCCCGAGAGACACAGAGCGCACCAGGGGACCCGGAAATACAAGTACCCCCCCCCTTTGGTGGTTACTTTCTGAGACTACTCGTGCCTGGAGTTTCGGAGTTGTTTCGTGTCCGAGTTGCGTCCGGATGAAATGACCAAACTGGTCAGGGTTACCACAACACAACACAACAAGCCTTTTCGCTCCCATACCGCACTTCCCACCCCATCCCGCGTCGCCGCCGCGCAACGCTGGCACCACTTTGCCTTAGCTCGCCACCCCAAAAAAAACCGATCTCCACGCTCTGCCGTACCATGTAATCGTACATATCCTTGTCCATGAGCCAAAAGGCGATGGTCTTATCCCCCACCAGGGCCTGGTCATGACTCTCCGCGTAGCCCACACACGCCTCCGCGTACCTGTTTCGAAGAGAGGAGAAGAGGGAGGAACAGGGCGGGGGCCAAGGGGGAAAGGGAGGGGGTTAAGAGGCCAGGTCAGTGAAGTGAGGCAACCAGCGATGGCGTCCCCAGCACCAACCAGCCCCAAGCAATAGCCGGGGGGGGGGGGCGGGTAGGGAGGTGAGAAGCAGCACACGAGGAAATATGGTGCGGGGACCGACTTGCGATCTCATCATCATGAATCTCATGAATCTCATGCATGCAAGGGGAGAGATGGCTCGAGAGACTACCGCAGCCTGGGCCTTCACAGCAGACCCCTTGCCGGGCATACTAACATAACGCATGAAAAAACATACATACATAGCGCCCTGACTTGCTACACACTGATTCGCTATGACCAGTACCTTCCCAATCGCCCCCGCACTAGCCCCCTCGCGCCTGACCGGCCCTCACGCCCGGAAACACCTGGGGCGGGCCCCCGCCCCTCCCGCTGCCACTCTCCCCGCCCCTCTCTCACGCGCTCCAGAGTCTCCCGCCCGCTACGCTACCTGCGGTTCGTGAGCGTGTGCACGATGTTGCCCATGTTCCAGGCGAAGTCGTCGTGCAGCTTCATCACCTCGATCCACTTGTCCGCGATGGCCATCTGGAGGCGGTAGTCGAAACCCACACCGCCCTCGTGCCTGATGATGATGATGGTGATGATGGCGATGGCAGCGACGACGAGGCGTATCAAATGAGAGACACACACGTGGAATGGGGTGGGGGCGATTGCGGGGCACGGTTAGGTTCGGTGGTTCGCGGGGTGATGGGTGAGGAGACAAGCCAGACAGACAGACAGGGAGACATTGTAAACAGACAGGGGCTGAGAACGCAGTGTCCCTGAGCTCCACCTTAACCCCCCGGGTAGACAGGCAGGGAGAGGGAGGGGAATGGGGGGAAGGGCCAACCTATACAAACGCGAGGGGGGAAAGCCCTTTTCCCGCCTGCTTCCCTCTCTTCGGGCGTCAGCACTGATTTCACTTTTTGACTTTGCCACCCATATAATCACCCCTAACCCCCTTCCCCTCCCT